ACAGTCGCCTAAATTGTGAAAGGCAACACTTTTAATCCGCATGTCAGTGCCTTCAATATGTTGGACTTCCAAAAACAAATGGTTTCTCTTAACACACATATAATTTGATTCAATTATGCACATTTTAATTATTTTTCCAATTGCAAGAACAATATACTGCATATAAGAAAAGCAAACATCTGAAAACTGAATGATATGGCTGCTAATTTGCCTTAAAGGTGCCAAAAGTATAATGCAATTGTTCACCCATTCCCAAATCCATCTGGTTACCTTTATTTATAATTTTTTATTAAAAATTGTTGTAGGTGAAAAAATATATTATTGGATGTTACTTCACAGGATGCTACAAATTAATTGTTTTGCATTTTACAATATATCATGTGTCATCATTTCTATCATTATATTTCTGCTTAAAATAACTACACCTCTGAGCCCAGGGTGCTAACTGATTCTGAAGCTGGAGAGTAGACAACAAATCATAGAGAAAAATATATAAATATATGCGTCTTGGAGAGCCCGGCAAGCTACCAAGAGTATCCCACCCGCACTGCAGAACCTAGCAAGCTACCTGTGGGGTATCTGTATGCCAAAAACAGTAATAATAATGGGTCCCATTTCCCTTCCCTGACCCTGAAAGAGCTTCCAATATGGCAGTAAGGAGAGACTGCTAAAATTTCAGTGCTGGAACGAATGTTACAGTGATATAGTGATCATCAAGAAAGTGAGTTCAAGGGAAAAAAACTTACTGTTCCAAATATGTTTATCTTTCTAAAGAAATCCTCATATTTTTAACATTGATTACTAAATGAATATTTTTTTTGCCCTCTCCAAATGCACAGTACCTTACAGCTCAAATTTTTATACTCACTTTCTTGATGATCACTATATCACTGTAACAATGTCATCCCTTTGTTCTTCAATTTACTTGAGTGGGCACCAGTAACGTCTCCATTCGTTCCAGCACTGAAATATATTTATATCTTTTTCTCTATGATTTGTTGTCTACTCTCTGAACCCCATCAGATATGGTGTAGTAATTTGATAATTTTTAATTTGACAAATTAGTATACTTATTCTAGAAATAAATGCCTTCTACGCATCATATTATTCAGGAAGAAAATGTGAGAATCAGAAATTTCTGAGTATAATCCTACAGAGTCTTGTTTTCACCTGGGTTGGGTTGAAATTATGGAAAATGGGTAGGGAGTGTCTTATTATGTGTCCAGGAATATGTTCACTCATATGTGAGCCTCGTCCCAAGCATGTGGAAAGCAGTCTGGAGTGTGGTGCTGGTTGGGCAGTGGAGGTCGGCTACCGGGACTGGGTCCCTTGGGGCAGGGAGGGCTCTCACCTGCCTCATTCTGGGACATCCTGAGTGAAAACAGCCTTCTTGATGATATTCAGGTATAAAGAAGATCTCTTCTATGATATAATTAGCTTTGAATGATAAAATCTGTATTCAGCTTGTCGTTAATGGATTTGACAGATTAAAGATAATCTTTAAACTTTGCCTTGATGTGATTTTCTTGATACTGTAATTTGTTAAATGTTTTATAATGATTTGATGTGAAACTTTGGTTCATTCATTTAATATTGGTTGAGAGTTGAATTTATCAATTTAATCTTTCAGCTTTATTCCAATTTCAGTATATTTACTGAAGAGTGAGAGGCAAAGTCTGTATACTGCTTAAAAATTGATGAACTAATTTGTTTATATATTAATAAATGCCTATGCAAAACTCTGTGGACATTTAAAATAAAACATTGGGGCAGGAGATATAACTCCATAGCTGGAGCCCATGATTTGCGGGAAACCCAGTTTTGATTCCCGTTACTCCAAGATCCATCAAGCACTGCTGGGAGCTGTCCCAATGTATGTGCTATAAATTATCCCTGAGTATCACCAGATATGGCCCCCAAGCTAAACATATTTTTAAAGCTAAAAAAAGTGAGTATTTCTCGTGATAAAACCGAGATTTACTTGTAAATTATCATTAAATATTGGGATTATTCTATAAAGTTATATATCTATGTAAGAATAGAAATTTTTCACAGAATATTTTGATACCATGGTTTACCATAAATTATCAAAGATTTGACATCTATACAGATGCACTTTTAAAGATCTAAATGGCATTATTAGAATGGGAGAAAACTTAATCAGCATTCAATACGTAAAACAATCTTAATTTTTTTTAGCATGTCATAAAATATTTATAGTTGTATATTGTTATTTATATGGCTCAACTATGTAAATTGATGTGACAGACTAGAATAAATGTAAATATTTAGCACAGATTATAATAAGAAATTTGAACATATTTACTAAGACCTAGAATTAGGATCACTATTAAACAAACAGATTCTAGTATTCATTTGCCATGGAGAAGCTTCAAAATTTCAAGTAAGCTTTTTTAATAGGTTTAACTTCTGATTAAATCACATATTCAGTCAAACCATTTTTATAAATGCATGGACATTTAAATATAAGTACATATTATATGTTTGCAGCACAATTGTTATCTGAGAAGCACTTAACCATATGTTGCAAATAAAACAAATTGACAAACGTTACAAAAAACCTGATATGAGCAGTTATATTAATTTGCTAGCTGGTTTTAGATAGCATCATCAACGGGAGATGCATTCACTTGTGATTGACTGTCGGCCTATTTGAATTAGTTTGAATGGATAATGTGAGTGTACTGTAGATTCAGTGGAATCTTACCAAACACACAGCTGCTCAGAAGTCTCAAGAGGGACAACTGAAACTGAAAAATCAATGTCACCAGCAGGGTTGTTGTAATAGATGCTTAGCCCTGCAGATTTGTGTAAACTAATGGCTCACTGGGCAGTGACAAGACAGATGAAAGAACTGCACAGGCTGAATCATTAACCTGGGACAACAGTTCCTATAAATATATAAATGTGAAATTTGGTGGTGAGGGGGCTCAAATGTATAAGCCATAGAGTTCAGAGGTGTCTATATAGAGATATAGACTGAAGCATATTTTAAATATAGCAAATTTATATAACTGTAACAACCACCTAGAATTAACTTGTTTTCAAAACCCTCATTATCAAAGAGTCAAAGAATTGTTACTTCTATTAAATAGCAATTGAATTGTGCTTTCAAGTAAATTCAAGAATATGTTTTTTTTAAGTTAACTGATGCTTATGCAATTAACCTAAGGGTTCAAGAGAAAAGAATTAGGTGGCAGAGATTTAGTGCAAGCGTTAGAACGCATAGCTTGCATGCACCCTGACCCTAGTTCAACCCCCAGCACCACCAGACAATATGAGCATCGCAGGGTGTCATCCCTGTGCCTCTTGTCCCGGGAAGCCTGTGCCCTGCTACGGTGGTCCTGGTGGACCCTGGCTCCCCAAAGCTCAAACAGCACCACATCCTCAGATATGAGCACTAAACCACCAGTTCAGTCTTCTGAGAATCACTGGGAGTGATCCCCTGATCCTGGGTACTGCTGGAGGAGTCCCCCCCCCAAATAAAGATGAGATTGAAATAAAAAATAGAGTGAGAAATTGGAGAACATCTTTATTAAAACACAGTGTCTGAAGACATAAAAACTTATGTGTTTTTTTAAAATACGTTCAGATCCTGGCTTCGCCCCTCAGAAACTTCATGTCTTAGGAGCAATATTTAGCCTCTCTGTGTTTCAAGTTTTTCTTTTTTTTTTTAGTTTTATTTATTTTTATTGAATCACCGTGAGATACAGTTACAGAGCTTTCATGAGTGAGTCTCAGTCATACAATGATTGAACACCCATCCAGCCACTAGTGTACCTTTCCGACTACCAATGTCGCCACTGTCCCTCCCGCCACCCCTACTCCACCCTCACACCCTTCCTTTTTACACTCTCTCTACTTTGGGGCTTTATGGTTTGCAATACAGATAGTGAAAGGCCATCATGTTTGGTCCTTTGTCTACTTTCAGCATACATCTCCCATCTATTTGTGAGATCTCTAAGAAAGAAAATAGAGGGAGAAATATTAAGTAATAAAATATTAAACAAGCTAAACTTACATAAGAGAATCAGCTTCCTGGTCTGATTCTAATTAAAGAGAAATGTTATTTCAAAATTTTAATCTTATGAAAGCTTGCATCTAAACTGATTTAATGAAATAATACCTTTCACCCAACAGTGTGATATTTTACTTGTCCTTAGTGGTGACCCAGATTTCGTTAGAATGCTTCATTTCTTAAAGCCTCTAATCAGTATTTTTTATTTATCTGCTGAGCTTAATGTTTATTATTCTCTAGTTTGTTACATAGTTTTCAACACAATCAACATATTATTGCAACCCAGTTTGTGATGTGTCATCACAATCTTGTGACCTTTACACAGAAATTTATGGTGTACATTAAAGCAGTAGCAAACAGAAAGAAATTCTTCAACAAAGAAACCATCTTTTCAGTATTTCTGCTGAACATGTGGCTACAGTTTACATCTTGGCTATCTTGCGCCAGTTTAGATTAAAAATAAAGAAAAAGAAAAGAAAAACAATGCCACTGTGTGTGAAAGAGTAAGACTTCTCGCATCAACACTTTCCCGTCAAGGCTAAACTTTCTGCCTGGACTTTTTAGTCTGTCTGGGAAATGTTTGCTCTTCTCTTTACTGCTGATTTTAGAGCAAAGTCTGTTATCAAAGGTTTCATTATTTTTTCATAGTTTGTTAGAATTTTTTTTTAAAAAAAAAGGTGTTCTGACAGCATCCTCATGTTTGAGAAGTTAATTATGATACTGTAATGTTTTTGTAGCAGTTTAAAGGCAAATTATGTACTTATTATATGATGGAGAAAATCCTAGTTACCTTTATTTCCACTACACCTGATAATCTTAAGATTCATCTTAATTTTCTGTAGTATGTAGAAAGTCAATGGAAACTTTGATCCATTTTAAATATTTAGCACTTTGTAAGAGAATGGTTTCTAAATTAATATATTATGTACTTTCATATGCTCGAATAAAAAAATTGGAGTGAATCATTTCTGGTTTATAAGCATGATTATTGGGTGTTCATAAGTTTATGTGACATGTGCCTTTCTTAAATCTTGTTCTGCACTTGACACATTACCTATTTGATCTGAAAAACAAAACTGGGTTAAATTCCTCTTTCCTATCATTTTATAGCTATAAAGTCAGAAGCTTGCTAATATATTACAAAACTCAAAATAAGTATTTTGAATTAAGAGGGCTAAATTAACATAGCACTTGTTTTGTTCCATTCTTTACTGAAATAAAGTTTAGATTTACAAAATGACCATGACTCTGATTTTATAGAAACCAGGGTCTGCATCTTTGAAATTTTTCATGATGCCTCACAATCAGAAACATTTATTGCAGGGGATAATCACTACCAAGTGAAAAGATGAGTGGTGATTCCCAAAGCGTATGGGTTAATTGGTGTTACAAGTTAATTTTGTTGCTGTATTGGATCTTTTTTCTTATGATTTAAAGATGTGCTTTAATACCAGGAAGAGCAGCAGAACAGTGAAGCTGTTTCTGAAGAAAGTCTTGAAGCAAATTATGATCCTTTATTTGTATCCAGAGTGGGAGGGACAGCAAGAAGCATGCATGAGTCATAGGACACAAAACATTGAATGTCATTCCAAGGAGAGGGTGGTGACCTTATGTCTGAGTATGCAAAAAACTAAATTGGGGGAATAAGCGGCCTTTCTCCAAAGCTATTGTGGTCAGAGTAAAACTGTATTTTTTTCTCTTATAAAGTTATGTAATTGGATTACACAATTGCTTTTATTTGATAATATAAGTAAATTATCTCTGATGCATCCAGTTTGAAACAATTCCAGATCAGGCAGAATGCAAATACAAAGTATTGAGTGAACCTACATAATGCTAAGGTCTGGAACAACATATAAATTTCCAGTATACTGTAAAGTGCTTTGGCAGAATTAACTTTTCCAGTCTCCTTTGCTTAATTTTGGAAAAGAACTGTTGATTTTTTAGCATTGCCATTTTTGTATTGTATTGATACTAAATATAAAAGATGTACATACAGGCTGTATTTATGGTGTATTGGTAAACAAGAGAAAATTATAAGAAAAAAGTTATTGTAAACCATGAAAGAAATGATTTGAACACATTTACACATTTATTGTAACACATTACACATTTATTTATTGAGTGAGAACTTTATGCTTTCTGAGTCTGATTCTAGGATCACCATGTTGCAGAATTCTCATTCTTCTAGTTCATGTGTGTTTGCCATAAGTCCATCTGTTATATACATGGGTTTAGAATATATCATCTATGAATTCACTCTTCTTCTTTACCTTTTCTTTTTTTTTAAAGTTTTCACATGTGTATTATCCAGTTCTATATGGAATCTGTCCATATTAAACATTTATGTGTAAAAGTTTCCAGATAACTCTCAGGGTTCTATTAGGGCTTATACAAAAAAAAAATTAAAGGATAAGTATATCCAATTAAAACAAGGAAAGAACTATTGAACCCAGCCATGCATACAATAAAAATAAATTGTTTGAAGTGAGACATGATGTAATTGTGCCTCCTCTATGAAGAAAGCCAATTCTAATCTTACTTCTAATATGCTTGATGGAGAAAAAATATATTTCATTAATGTTGGTTCTTAACAAATCACCTAAGCTTTGATGATGGCACCTACTATGAGTCAGGAGCTCTATTACATGACTGACCCTTTTTGCATATGATTAGATTTTAGAAACTGTGGATGTGATGCAATACATAGTAGACAATGTAGAGTGGAGACAATGGGGTGGCTAAAAAAGTATACTATTTAGTATGCATGAAAAAACATGCATACAAACATGAGAATGTACTTTAATGATTTACTCATTATTTTATTGTGATTCAGAGTTATTCCCACAGTCCATTCTCAGAAAATAATCTTACTTGCAATAAGGTTTATTGCTTTTCAGGTCAGTAAAAGTGCACTCTGTTCAAGGATATGATTAACATATCTCATTTTAATAATTGAGACTTGTTGAGATTTGATGGAAGACATTTTCTTAGTCTAGTACCATAATTAATCCACAAAATTTTGGAAACTAGGTATAATCACCTATATGGGGAGCTACAATGATTAAAATAAGTGTGATTCACTTGGTCTAAGTAATTTTTTAATTGTGTGTATAACTTTAAAAAGAAATTTACTTTATGTGTGCCTAAATATTTCCATAAACTAGAATTTTGTTCTATTTCATGTTTTATGGAAATATAATGCAGCATATTTACTAATAGATTACATCAACTGAATAAGAAGAATAGTTTATTTCTTGATTTACCCCCAATAAGAAATATTTTTGTACCCATAATGGAAGAGGCTCAGCAAATTTTTATCACTACAAGTTTCAGCAACTTGTTATTTTTCCCCTAAACAGTCTTCGTGTTAATGCACTGACTGATTGGGTGTTCTTGGGTCTACTCATTCGATAGCTCCACAAAAAACAATGTGAACCTAATTTTCTAACCTTATTGCAACTCTTTGCCTCTCTGCTGCTGCAGTGAATCCAATTGTAAATGCAAATCATTGTTTTCATGATTACCTTGAAAAGCACAACATAGAGGAGAGATTTGATTTTTTTTTGAAAAAGATAAGCTCTTAGAGAGTATAACAATTGTAGCATTCAGTTCCCTAATCAGTTTCACATGCAAAGCTCTTGCAATAGTGCCAGAACTACTCCATTTTTTAGTAAGCAGTGTATAAAATTCTGAGGGTACTCTGAGAAGTGTCAATATATTTTCTTGGAAGTTGGTGTTGCTATATTAGTGGTAAAAAACATGACTTCATCAAAAAAACACATATAAAAATTTCCTCATATCTTAAAGTTATTTTGTTGATGTGGTAAAATAATACAAGATGAGCTAAGAATCATATATAGCTATATAGAGCAATATTAAAATATATAGAATATTTAAAATATATATAATGTATAAAATATATTAAAATATACAGAGCAATATTTGATATGTCTTTGGACAAGTAATTTTTTTTAATTATTTCTATAATGTAAATGATGAATCTGAGAACTGTTTGTTTAGGTGTATGTCTGTTTTCTCTCCAGGCAAACAAAAAGTAAATCTATAGGAATAATACAAAATAACCTTAGTTTTTGATAGATTTTTTTCATCAGAAATACCACTGCAAATAACGTTCCATCAAATTTAATGTAGTTTGTTAGCGAAAAGAAATAATATTATTTATAATGTAAGGACTTTCCTAAGAACTTGCTGATTTCTTACTGTAGTATGATACATTTTTTGATAGTTATTGTTTATACATAAAGGTAAGCCTAACATTTAAAGAGGATGTTTGCTTTTGCAAACCACAACACCCAAAAGGAGAGAAAGAACGAAAGGGAATACCCTGCCACAGAGGCAGGGTGGGATGGGGGATAGGGGGTGCAAGGGATACTGGGACCCGTGGTGGTGGAAAATGGGCACTGTTGGAGGGATGGGTACTCGATCATTGTATAATTGAAACCCAAACACAAAAATTTGTAAATCTACAAAAAAAAATCTTAATAAAGTAAATAAATGAAAAAAAAAAACAGAGAGGATGTTTGCCCCTCCTCATGCTGAAAAGAGCAGATTGTTCAAAATATTTATATAAATTATTCAAAATCATGGTCCTCCCATTGCTCATCGATTTGCTCGAGTGGGCCCAGTAACGTTTCCAACATGAGACTTGTTGTTACTGTGTTTGTCATATTGAATACGTCACGGATAGCTTGCCAGGCTCTGCTGTGCAGGCAAAATACTCTAGGTAGCTTGCCAGGCTCTCCAAGAGGGGCGGAGGAATCAAACTCGGGTCAACCATGTTGGCCACTTGTAAGGCAAATGCCCTACGGCTGTGTTATTCAAAATGTATTTCTAAAATATGCAACTGATGTGACAATTTTAACTACGCTCAACCCCCACATAATTCAGTCTTTTTTTTTTTTTTTGCTTTTTGGGTCACACCCGGCGATGCACAGGGGTTACTCCTGGCTCATGCACTCAGGAATCACTCCTGGCGGTGCTCGGGGGGACCATATGGGATGCTGGGGATCAAACCCAGGTCGGCTGCGTGCAAGGCAAACACCCTACCCACTGTGCTATCGCTTCAGCCCCAGAGTCATTCATTTTTTTTTTTTTAACAAATACTATTTAGCCTTTGTAACTGATTCTTTTATCCACATTCAGAATACATCACTGAATAGGATAAGTGATTCTAGTGCACCTTATGATCTTATGTCATTGTGAAAGGACAAAATTTCAACACATGACATTTAAGTATAGTATTGGTAACTTAAGCAGTGAGGAACATTATGGAAAAGAAATAGAGTATAAAAATATTCTCAGGGATGGGTTGTAAGCAGCCTGTAATATAAGATAATCACAGTAGGTCTCCTTGAGACAGTGAGATTTGAATGGAGAAGGGTTGAGGAATATTAGCCAAGAGACTGTCTTTGGACGAGTAGTCTAGACTGAGGAATGAGCCTGAGTAAAGACCAAGAGTGTGAGAGAGAATTCCTGGCATATTGTAGGAAGATGGCCAGTGTGACTGAAGCAGGCTGAGTGAGAGATAGACTAGTAGGAGATAAAGTTCAAAAAGGTATTCAGTTGAAGGGCGCAGTTGTCCTTAGACAAGCACTGTCGTGAGCTTCCAAAAGAACTGAATTTCAGAAAATGTACAGAGAAGTCTTGTGAGTATTTGGCTCAAGGTCACCCTAAATTTGTTTTGGCTCTGCATCCAGAACTCATTTTAAAATACTAGCTAACTGCTTGTGGTTTGACTTCTGTTATTCTTTCTCAAAGTTGGTGATTTACACTATGTCTTTATGTAAATATATGTAATATGTTCATTATAAAGCAAAGCCATGAGTAACTAGATTTTATGAATAATTTAATGGAAGGCCTACATTGAGAGGAGGTGGGAGACATCACTGAAGTGTAGGATGTAGTTGAAATTTATGCTCTTTTGCTTCCTCTTCCACAATTTGTACATCGTTTTTGTTTTTGCTTTTAAGCAACACCTGGTGATGTTTAGGGATTACTCCTGGCTCTGCACTCAGAAAATACTCCTGGCTGGGGGAAATCC